TGCCCAATAGTCTTTTCTTGCTCAGCAGTCTCTTCGTGCTCAGCAGTCTTTTCCTGCTCAACAGTCTCTTCCTGCTCAGCTGTCCTATCCTGCTCTGCAGTCTTTTCATGCTCAGCAGTCTCTTCCTGCTCAGCAGTTATTTTCTGCTCAGCAGTTTCTTCCTGCTCAGCGGTCCTTTCCTATTCAGCAGTTATTTTCTGCTCAGCAGTTTCTTCCTGCTCAGCAGTTCTTTCTTGTTAAGCAGTCTCTTCCTCCTCAGCAGTCCCTTCTTGTTCAGCAGTCTTTTATGTTCAGCAGTTCTTTTCTGCTCAGCTGTCCTTATTCGGCAGTCCTTTTCTGTCCGGCAGTCGCTTTTGGCTCAGCCGCCCATTCCTGCTCAGCAGTCCTTTCTTGCTCAGCAGTCTTTTATGTTCAGCAGTTCTTTTCTGCTCAGCAGTCATTTTCTGCTCAGCTGTCCTTATTCGGCAGTCCTTTTCTGTCCGGCAGTCGCTTTTGGCTCAGCCGCCCATTCCTGTTCAGCAGTGCTTTCTTGCTGAGCAGTGCGATGCCAGTCAGGGGACCGGCGCGTGTGATTACACAAAGACATTTTTGAGCAAAGCCATTTTTGTTGCTTCGTTAAGGGTCTTTGCTGGTGATTTTAAATCTGGTTACAGTATTTTAGCTAATAAATGACTATTCCAGGATCCTAAGAGTCCTTCGTTGCGAAAAAGGAGTTAGAGGTCATCTCATTATCCACATCGATGTGAAGAGCAGAAGTTAAAATATTCCTGCTACTTGATGTATTTAGTTCATTGTGATGCGGAAGTAATGAATTTTAATGAATTTTTAATTCGAAGCCAGTGATTTACATCTGCTTGGAATATCATTTTTTAAAGTCTATAAATGCAACGAGAGCAGAAGTAAAAATCTTGAAACTCTTTCAACTTAATAAGAAAAACGATCTCTCTAACCTTCAGAGATTAAATGCAATGGAAATTACCCAGGAACGGTGTAGGTCAGAGCAATTTTTAGAATACTTTATCTCCTTTTTCTCTCATCTCTTTTTATTCTAATCTTTATAATTTCTTTCTGCTGAAGCGTTGTTTTTCTTATATCCCGACGCGGGTACCTTATTGAAAATCATCGTCGCCTTAGACTTTAGAGCGAGCAGATCATGAATCAATTCGTAAGTACCGATACTTTTTAAAGTGAATTTTAATAAATTAGAGTGCAAGTGTGGAGGAGTCTCAATTCATAAATATCTTTGTCGTTGTGCTGTACTGCTGATACCTTCACTTGAATTATCTTGCCCGAATTTTGGACAGCATTCCAGACCAAAATGTAATTCTTTTTCCGGCTTTATGAAGGAAATAATTTTATTATTACTAACTTAAAACTTATCCAGAAATGATTCCAATTTCATGTTGAAGTTTCTTGGCTACAGACCAATCCTAATTTCTTGTTTAAATGCAAATTTGTGGCGTTTTATTCAGTATTTTATGTACGTGTACAAAAAAAAATTTATTTTCCGTACTCAAAAGTTTCGACTTGCAAGACAAGGTGTCGCGCAGGTCTCGTCCTCGAAAATGGCGACGTCAGCGATACTCAGCCTCTGGTGAGCGATCGCTAATTTTTTTCATTCTTCTTAATCCCGATGTGATGGGGGATTTATTTCCAATCCCCTGTTTGTCAGAGAGTGTTTGAAAACTGCCACAGGAAATATGTTTAGATTAAATGCGAATGATTGTTCATATTATCCATCGTAATGGGATATCAACGAGATCGTGACATTTTAGTTTCTTATAGTCCATGTAAGTGGGTTTAAGCATGTTAAATCCGATGTTCGATGAGCAGCTATGATATTAAAAACTTTAAATTCCATACACATGTTCATTTCTCTGGGATACGAAAACGAACGTTAGAACAAACGGCCAGTGTAACGTCTGCTTAACCTGCATGCCGTGTTTAGCCTGACACTCCTGGATAACCTGCTGTCAATTGTTTAGCCTGCCTAACCTGCTGCTAAGGTTAAACCGCTCCTCAATTACTGCCATATACACTGCTAGAAAAATTACCGTTAACGGTATTACCGGCATTTCAGTGGCCGGTCGGCACGTGAAAAGAAACACCGTGTTGCCGTTTTTATTCTAATTTAACACTAGAAATCCGTGAAACATCTGATAAAAACGGCGAAACAATTTATTTTCACGCGGCGCCCGGCCACTATAATGCCAGTGGGACCGTTTTTTCGCCGTTTTTCTAACAGTGTAGCCAGTGGCAATAGTATAATTTTAAATTAAACTGAATGTAAGAGCTTGCATAACATTGAAAGGCAGCTCGAATTTGATGTATTCAAGGCCCCGTCAGAGAAGCTCCCTTGTAAGCTTTAGTAAACAAAGAAAACCAAGAGACTAGACCGTTTTAAATTTCGGTAATTTAAATTCATACTTTTTACCGCGGATGTCATGTCTAAACATGAAGTCCTTAATTCTCAACAGCGCATTTGTAGAGGAAAATCATGCGCCTTTTTTTCTTGCTCCGGATTTTAGTGCCCATGTTAATGGCATGTAGATGAAGGTTGCATGCGTAATAGAGTTCGCTGCGTCTAATCGATCATTCAACGTCATCCTGCATGAATGATCTCCATTACCTGTCGAACGATGAGGCGGTGGCTTCATTTATTTTTCAACGACTGCGAATGAACATCATGGGTTATCTACATCTCGTTTTGTTATAATTTATAAACGGTATCGTATTTAATAGTTGGAATTTGTTTCAAACATATCAAGTGTCAAGCTACGGCTGACGCAGCATCGATACTCCTGTACTCAACTATAGGACCGTCGATATTGTGAGGTCAAAGAAGCATGGAAGTTTATGATGAAAATCGGCGAGCAGTCGACGGTTCAACGATAATCTTTACTTCTAATCGAAAAAATATACTAAAGAATATCTTATCTGTCTCAGACTTATAAGGAATACCTTTGATGTTTCATACCGTTACAATCAAGAGCTCTGAGAGAATCAGCATCATTGACACAACTAAAAAGTTATTTGCAAGATGAAATTACCTTCCAAAAAGTCGTCACTGTTAATTAATTAATATCGATTGATGCACTGCAAATCCTGCCTAATTATGCTTCTAAATATAAATCTCTTCTAACATTCTGTATTAAACAAAAATATGTTTCAATAGTATTTTCATAGGGTCATTACTTCAAAAATTCCCGTATTGTTGACCGAGTAAAACAACCTAATCTTCGACACTTTTACAAATACAAATATTATTCATCTTTTGATTATGATTTATAAAACCTACGTTAGTTTTGTTACTGTCAGCAGGTTATTTAAGTTGAATTTGTCGATGAACTTGCCAGGCAGGCTGGTTCAACTAGACCTCACCGAACCGAGCGACCACTGAATTTATTAAGTAAAAAATATAACTCAGAACTCATTGCAGTGAGTGACAGAGAGCACAGTTTCTCGTCGACAAAAACGTGAAGTCATGGACGGACAGACAGACGGACGGACATGGCCAGCACAATAGCGTCTCTTTTCCATAAATGAGAAAATGCGCTAAAAACGGGCCTTCATTAATCGATCTCCCCCTGGCATTTACGCACCGCGCGAGACAAAAGAACCTTTCCCCCAAGTCTTCCTATCCAAATTATCGCTTTCACGCGAGGGTTTTTGTTATCAAAGTCATCGTGAATGATGAAGCCACGGATCGCCGCGTTCCAAGAGAGCTTGACGAGCATCCAATGGAATTAATAGTCCTCTCAAAAATTGTCAGTGGATTAACAGCAATTTTTTAGGCGATTAATTATATCGCTTTTAATTCAACGAATTTTTATAACGGCGATAGGTCTCTATTTGGTTTCATGGACCGAGGCGCATAGCTGCGTAAGGCTGATTAACTAGTCTCTGAAAGAGCAGCGATGCGTGGCTGTAAGAGAGTCGATGAATTCTGCTTTATGTTGGCTTGGCCTGAATTATTTCATATGCATCTCAATGCTTTTTTGTGAATGTTTGAAATCCATTTATTTTTAATCTTTGATTTATATAATACGATCACTCGAATTTTAATGCGGTATTCCCCTAGGCAATGGACTCGCACGTCTCGAAAACAATTATTCTGCTCCTTTCTTGATTACCACACAAATTTGATGCTATAATTTTACGCGTCTAGCGCATGTAATCATTGAGTATATGACAGTGTAATTACTTACAATTAAAAACAAAATGGCTTACAAAATGAACATAATTTTTGTAACATTTTATTCTGTAGGTGCTGTATAAATTTGTATTTTCAAATGCAAAGTCATCGATCTTCTCGGATCAAATAAATGACGAAGGCAAAAATATTACGAAACACTGTGTGATCGTAAAGCGTTTTTTCTTGAATTTAAATCTCTAAAATATCCAATTCATAAATTTAATTTTCAATCCCGAGGATAAGTCATACATAAGTCAAGGGAGGATGAGTTATGCCCGTTTTATTTTAATCCCTAAATTTGTCTTAGTGATTCATTTTTTGTTTTTGTTGTCACATTATTACATGCAGCTGTATATTTGTATACCTGGTCAATAAAAGAATACAATTAAATGTTGTGCCACCTTTAAGGTGTTCGAAATCGATCGTTGCCATTGAAGAAGATACTCTTCAATATATGATACTGATTTAAATTAATAATATAATTATTAATAACTAATAATGACAAGCTCTCTTTATCTATCCCTGAATAAATGAGCGAGGATTTATTGCAGATATCTCGCTGCTTTGCTCCCTTCAATGCAGCTATTTCTCCGTGATCGAAATCATTCAAGTTTTGCAGTTGAATTACAGTAGTAACCTTGTAAGAACTTATTAAGACGCACTATGCCCTGACCTTCTATTGGATAGTATTGCGGGACTTTTAATGCGAGTCCATACATTAATTTCCATACATTTAATTTTTAATGCAATTCATTACATTAATTTTTATTTGATCATGCAATTGTGAAGTTGTGGTCGTGTTCAGGTGCCGAGGGCTGTACAGGCAGCCATGGACCCCAAGCTGCCAGAGGAACCTACGCCCCCGCGTCTCTTCAGCTGGCCAGGTTAGAGTATTTCTGTAACTTGCCTTCAAATTATGCCATCATGAATAAAAGATAGATGTAAAATAAATTAAATAGGTAAAATATTTAGAGTGGAGTGTAAAGGCGTTTGCAATTGTAATCATTCAAGTAGGTAGCCCGTGCCGCTTTAAATATCAATGCACGTCGTTGATAATATGTATAATAAAATCCGATTATTACTACGTATAAATCACTAACGGCTTGTGCTGTTTGGCGGTGTCTACTGGAATAAAAAGTCAGACGCTGCACCAACTTTTGAAAAGCCTCCTTCGATCAAGGATATTTGCTGTATTAGTTACGGGGGATTAACACACATTTTGTCGCTTATGCATGCAGGACTGCGTTGATATTTATGTTTAATATTAATAAATCTATTTAATAATTGTATCACATTATCTTATCGCATATTGCGGCTTAGTCTAAGAGAGGAGCATAGAAAGCCAGTATTTGAGCCCATCTGCTCAGGTACCCGAATTTATCGTTTTCTTCGATGGAGCAGCGTAGAGATGAGCTTACATTGTGGGGAGGTTGCCGATGAGGCTATATTAGGCTCCAATTATTTAGCCTTTGCCGTCTCGGACATTTTCGCGTGCGTAGAGTTGTTGTGGGATTCTCGTTCCTTTTTTATAAACTGGACCTAACGATACTTTTGTGACTCCTGTTATCATTGGCCAATGTTAGTCTAATCGTGAAGAGGTTTGCAATCATTGGACATAATTTTCAATAACGCGAGAGGTATTATCAACGGTTGATTATGATCGGTTGATGGAACAACAAGATTATCGAAATGTGTCTAGAGTAGGCTTGTAGAATCCAGTGCCGAGTCTCAATTTGTTAATTCATCTTTTTTGATGAAAGAACAATATTCATGCACGCAAAATTGACGGTGCCAGAATTTATTTGGATAATCAATAGTTGCTTTGGCGATTAAAAAGCTGAAGTATTTCTATGTAATTTTCAATTATTATGAAAATAATGCTGAATAATATTTATAGGCAAAATTCCTATAGTTTGCCATTCTGGCGTCTGATCAATTTTCTGTGGCCGGTCCGAAAATTTCTAGGCTTCGAAGTGGGACTACGGAAAACTTCGTTTGGAATTTTATAACTTCTTCCATTCTAAGATCCTCATTAAGCTCATCGGATTCAAAAGCGGTTTTTTATTGCATTCGATCCTGTGTCGTCTTCTGAATCATCTAGCGTCTTGATTGTTCATTTGCCATTAATATCATTTTTATGGGCTCTGCGGGCTTCTCGTAAATTCAACATATGTTATAAAACAATGTTCCCGATCCCTGATATCCGATGAAACATTCATAAGTAAGAGCATGTGTTGTCTCGCTGATCATCTTAATTGGTGCTTCATCGAACAGAATTATTAAGTTTAATTTTTAATGTTTTCGGTTCTTATTAACTCCTTATTCCTGCGTAACCCTCAGATTCATTGCGATGCATTTTCTATATTAGTGTTTCCGTTAATCAGGTTTTCATCAGATCATTAAGCTGCTAGCAAACTGTGCTCTAGACCACAGAGTGTCTGTGGCTGCTGACATATTCATAGGTAATAAGACCGGGCAAACACATGGTTGCAAGTTCGAACAAATAACTTGGAGCTAAGTTAGGTTAAGATCGGCGCTATATTAGAAATATAATTCGAGGTATAAGTAAAAGGAGAATTCGATACTTATGATTAAATATTATAAGAAGACAATTTTTAAATAATTCGAAGTATAAGAAAAAGAAGAGGAAGAATTTAAAGGATGTGTCATAATTTTCTGGCGATGAATGTTGATGTTTAATTGCTTCCTGCTCGCGGATACGCAGCAGGAGACTCGTCTTGAGGAGTTGTGGGTCAGTGCGATGCTGACGCTCATAGGAGGAGGTTTAGTTTTCAGTTGTTCCGTTGTTGAAGTGTAGCGCAGGACGCAAATTTCACTCTGTAGTCTTGTTCACCAGTAAAATTGCGAATATTTAGTGAGATTTCCTTTATAAAGAACATGACACTGTTCTACTTAGTAAATTTATTATTTGTGAAACATATGTTGAAAAGTTTTACATGAAAAAGAGTTTTATCAAGTGTGTAATGATGAACTCACAACTTGTTGCGTATTAGATATTTAAATATTGAGAGCAAATACCGTAGAGTTTCCGCAGTCTGTGACGGTTGCTTCAAATACTCCTATATTTATTTCGTAATAATTGGTTGAAGATATTAGAGCCTCAAGAAATATTAATTTATCGAGTTTCCTCTAAGTTGTTGTCTCTTCTACTCGGTTACATGAACTCTATGAACTGTGTTCAGAAATAATTTAGTAAAGATTTTTTGGTGTGTGAGCAGTTCCACTGATATAATACAGTATAATATAATATAATAAAATGTAATATAATATAATATAATGTCGGCTCCACTGCCGACACGTGAGCCAGCCATGTTGCGCACTGCAGTCGGTGCTTCGATCAACAAATAATTGCTTCTCAGGCGTTGCCTAGCGCTAACCATTGTCTTTCTAGAGACGGCTGATCATCGATCATTTCATTGCGTGCGATATCGCGCAAATAATATTTAATCAGGTAGTATATGATTGACTTTTCCTAAGTGATTGATTTCGTCGATGTTATAAATCACTTCCGTAATCAATGCACGGTTGTTAACGTTATTTTCCCGTTGCCATGTCAATGACAATATTAGTAAAAGAACACGAATATTCTTCTATCATATTATAGTTAACTTCAGTCAACTCTAATAGGCTGTCAGTTAAGACCGGTAATTAACACTGGCAGTATTAAAAAATCTTGACTTCTTTGTTCGCTAAAAGACGCGCTGTCCACGTAATTGCTTTACCTTGCATGCAAATAGCGGCCCTAGGACGCTAAACTTGCCCGAGTGAACTTGACGGCTCTTGGAACAGCGAAGGCCTCCTGAAAAATAAGGCCATTTTGGACACGAGCTTAATACCAGTAAAGCAAAAGTGCTTCTTGTAAGTGGGCCAGTGTAATATATGGTCGCTATACTGACCTGCAGTTTAAACTGATCGTGAGAGACATGGTCACTATACTGACCTGCAGTACAGTGTAGGCTGATCGTGAGAGACATGGTCACTATACTGACCTGCAGTACAGTGTAAGCTGATCGTGAGAGACATGGTCACTATACTGACCTGCAGTGTAAGCTGATCGTGAGAGACTTGGTCACTATACTGACCTGCAGTGTAAGCTGATCGTGAGAGACATGGTCACTATACTGACCTGCAGTACAGTGTAGGCTGATCGTGAGAAACATGGTCATCTGAAGCAAGTTTTACGAATGAAAGAGTTTCAACCAACATTATGTTGGTTGAAATATTATTCCATATGATTGATATTCTCATTTGATCATTGAAATTCTCAATCCTCAATAATGTTAAAAAAATGACTTAAATCGACCTCATCTAAATTAAGTCATATTAATAATTACTGAATGGAAATATCTCATTTATATATCAAGAACAATAGTAGTTGTATACTAATTTGTGTAATACAATGCTGGTATTGTGAATCAAATACAGAAAAATACTAGTTGTTCAGTTCAGTTTGTGATTTACTGATACACTTGCTGTTTTAGCGGTGAGTGAACGTCCTCATGGATTATTTCTGCAAGTTTGATCTGCATTTTAATACTGCTTGAAATTTGTCACTGAGTCACAATTTGTAGGCGAGAAAGAGGTTCAAAAATTTATAATATTGCAGCAAAATTTATAGAATTATTTGTTGTTTATAATATCATATTCTATATATTATGAGTTTTTGTGTCATTCATATTTACTATTTTGACTGTGACGGTACAGAGAAACTCTTTGAGGTGTACTTGTAATACCATGTGATATTTTTTGAAAATTTTGGTGTCAAAGACAGAAACTAAATAAAAAAAATATTAGATATTTTGTTCGTTGCAAGTATATCAATGTTATGAGTATTCATATAAAACTTCTTTAATTCAGTCGCTTAAACAATAAATATTTTCTAACCCGACTGCTGGCTGAATAAATATTTAAATGGTTTGATTTACTTCCCACTAATTGCTACTCGAAAAACTTATAATTTAGTAACAGTGTGCGCAGCTTTCAATTGGGGTTAATAGCAAGTATGTGACCTCTCACTTGCCATTTATGAATCGTGTGGAGGACTACTGGCCATTTATGGACCGTATTCACAACTAATTGTCATTTATGGACCGCGTGAACGACTACTAACCATCTATGAACCGTATTCGCAATTAATTGCCATTTATGGACCGTGTGCGCAACTTTCACTGAGTCTCCAAAGTAGAAGATCCTGAGACAGCCTCGTCTCAACTTCAGAGATTGCAATATCGCAACGCATTATCGAGCGACGCTATGTTTTGGATCCTGAAAACCCCCCGATTAGCGGCCAATTTTCTTCAGAACTTCGTGGGTCCAGCGAATAATAAAAACAAAGGTGAGGCTGTGAGGGGGATTGTATGTTAAGATGATGTACGTGGCTAAGATATAATTTTCTTACGTCGATCAAAATATATTAACATAGTTATTGGGCGCTATTTTTACGCCACAGTTTGCATAAAAATGTTGTGCCTTACAATTTGAATGTTCAAAGAAATTTGCCCAAGTTACGATCGCACGGCCACATAACCATTTACCGGGACTCTGACCGCCTCATAGTCCGATAAATGCTCTCTCACCGCCACTCAGACACTCCAGAGTCACTCCGCCATCTCACAGCGGAGTGGCACTCAGACACTCCAGAGACACTCCGCCATCTCACAGCGGAGTGGCACTCTGACACTCCAGAGCCACTCCGCCATCTCACAGCGGAGTGGCACTCTGACACTCCAGAGCCACTCCGCCATCTCACAGCGGAGTGGCACTCAGACACTCCAGAGCCACTCCGCCATCTCACAGCGGAGTGGCACTCAGACACTCCAGAGACACTCCACCATCTCACAGCGTAGTGTCACTCAGACACTCT